TGAGTTATGGACTGAGTTTCTTTATCCTTATGTTGTCTTTTTACTACAGTGTACTATGATGTTGATGGTAGAGAGATGGGGATCCTCTGTTCCCTCGTATATCCCTGGAGCCCGTTCCAGCCCCGCGGTAAGGTGCCGTATCTTCTGATACCCCCGACATCCGTACTAAGGACTGCTATGCCAGCCTAAACTCTAAGCTACGTACTAGGAGGATAGCTCACCCTCAATCGTGAATCATGGACTGTCTGTATTGACCCTGGATAATCTCTAAGCCCTGTGTTTGTATGGTAATCTGAGAGCAGACAATCCTCTGTTCCCGTGTATGTCCCTGGAGCCCGTTCCGGCCCTGCGGTAAAGTGCACTATCTCCTGACACTCCCGACATCCCGTACTAAGGAACTGCCATGCCAGCCTCAATCTTTTGACCACGTACTAAGAGGATGACCAGCCCTAAGTTACAGTCTGGTATCGAACACAGGACCTTATGTGAATCATGCAAGTGACCTAACCTATTGACATATACTGTGAAATAGTCTGTAGCTGTGCTCTGCTGGGCTTGAGTAAACCGGACTATGCGAGCCACCCAGCAGTCTCATGGCAAACCCGTAGACCAAGAACATCAGGATACCCACCATTGCCCAGTCCCCACATACAACAACCATGGACTACCCCTTGGGTGGTGCGCAGGCAGTGTCTGTAATAACTAGACTGCATCATTCCAAGGGGGTGGGGGTGTGTGTCCAGCCGTGTGTCATTCTAACGCCCTGCCGGTGTCCATCCGCAAGGCTGTGGAGTTTTAAACCCGCAACCTCATACCACAAATGAAAAAAAGTTTAAAAAGAGTTATTATTATTAGTGTTTAGCTGGACGGCTCTGGAGAGCATAGGTGTTTCCCAAATGCTAATACTTCGACAATTTTCCTTTGGAGCTTACCAAATGAAAACATTCCAAAATTTCAAATTTCCGGAAATTCCTGTCTCCAGTGCCAAAATTTGGAAACTTTTGTGTCCAGCTGGCTTCTGGGTGGAGATGAAAACCACCTGGGAAAGTCATTACTGAATGAGCAAGTTTAGTTGATCACTCATGTTTATAGTACGATGGACACGTGACACGACAACATGAGCTCTGTTGGTTTACAGACCACCCACTTCTAAATGTCAAGGGATGGTATTCTCAACACACATATAGTGCTGACAAATTCATACTGCCTTCGGGTATACAACTGGCTTCTGGATATATAGACATACATCATAAATAGCCTACATCCATGGCTTCCTGAGCACATACATATGGCCTAAGGGCTTACATGCATCTACAGTAACTGTTGACTGGGGGAGGGGTAGAATAGACTTAGACTCTAGGGTATAGGATACGGTAGTTACCCCAGCAGGTCTGAGTTCCACTTAGCCAAGATAGGGGCAAGCTAGGGGAAGGACGGTAGGACTGTCAGTCTTGAGTTCCGCTTGGCCTTGGGTAAGCTAGGGGAAGGATGGTAGGCTGTCTGGCTGGGGTACTGACTGCTAGTTAGCTGTCCCCGAAAATAAAACCCAGGGGTCTGTGATCTCTACAATAAGGATACGAGGTTGGTAGAATATAGTGGTGCCTAGCTTCCAAAGTTCCCGTACAGCGAGGCCTGTCCGATTTCGCTTCCACTGGGGCTGGGTTAATAGCTAGCCTTGGTGCCTATCACTACTGTCTCGTCCAAGTCACCCACCTAGCGGTTGGGTGATGGTCCTGAGTGGGTTACACTGAGGTAAGATAGTTAGGTTAGGGGGTACGCTGGGAGTATCGATGAGTGGTAGGGTGGGAGGTGACCTCGTATCTTAGGACTGCGAAGGCTCATCGCTCCCGGTGATCCCTGTGTGCCTGGTAATTAGCCTCTACAACATCCTGGACTAAATTTAAGGGGGGAAAAAAAAAAAAGGGACTCTGGACCCGATTTCCAGCAGGTGTTGCTCCCCACCAATAGATGGAGCCTCCCCGAGCATGCTAGTGGTGTCTGCTCTTATCAGCACCCCTAGCATTTACTCGGGTTGTTTTCTTAGGAAAAAAAAAAAAAAAAAAAAGAGTCGAACCTTGGGAAACAAGAGCGCAAAACCTGGTTGACTAGACACAATCCAATGGTGCCAAATTGGCACTCAGAAGATTGTCATGAGTCCCAGCAGGAAAATGGCCAGATCCTTACTTAGCATGAATATAGAACCACTGGGGCAAGGGATTTTGGAAAGATCGAGGGCAATGCTAATTCTCTTCACAGCGGAGAGGTGCTGTCTTCTCCTTTCCCCTCTGTGTTGGGGAGAGAACGGGAGGGTAGTTCTAAAGTTTTTCTTCTACTCCTTTCAGAAATCGTCAGAAGCCGTTGGGGGGTCTCTGAGTTGTTTGTCTGAAATTTTGCCTATTTCTGAAGTTTTCTACCACTGGGGCCAGAGCCAAAAGCAGTAGATCCAAGGGAAGGCCAGTGGTTGGTTACCTTAGGCCAGTGGTTGCCAGTGGTTGGTTACCTTAGGACCAGGGCGCAGTCAAAGAAGACAGACAAAAATAAAAAGACCAGACCGAGTGCACAGCGCAGTGCTGGGGCTGCTTTCTTTTTTTACCAGTCCTTCCATTCTGGGGAGCAGCAGTCCAGGGGACATTCCCCACTTGAGGAGGTTTAGTTCTGGTTTTGAATATACAGGAGTCTCTGCCATCCAATCTGAAAATCTCACGGCCACAGAGTGACCAGGTTGAAATATACTGGAAACTAGAGTACAACTTCCAGAACAATATGAGCAACCTGATCATCCCTCTCCTCCTCCGGCGTATTTTAGAAGGCCAGTACTTAACGGACAAGGAGGGGCTACAAACCACCCTCCAACAACAAACAACACTCTTGTGTAAGCCCTCTATCCCAGCGGTGGTAAGAGAACCGTGAGAATGGAGGGCGTATCTGTCGGGCTGCTCTATCTATTGGTGGGGAGCGGCACCTGCTGGAAACCGGGTCCAGCGTCCCTCGAATACCGATCTTGTAACACAGAGACTGCTGTTTGATGTTTCCTGGGGCTGTGGTCGTATCTCTTGTCAGCCCGGGGCTCTGTTTTCCCATGTAGCTGCTAGTCATACCCATCCCATCTTGGAGCACCCATTATTCATTAGCCCAGCCCTGTTCAGCAGCCCCCCTGCTTGTTGTTACCATGTCTGTCCCTTAAACCGTTTAAGCCCGCTACCTTCTCACAACCCAGGTACAACACTTTCGTAGATTTGAGACGTAAAGGTCTGCAATGTAATGGGATGCGATGCAATGCATTGCAGTGCGATAGAATGCGAATGAAAAAGAGAAGATTATGCCAGTACGAGATCCCGAGTAGGTGTATTCTCAGCCGCAGAGCAGATGAGAGTTTTGGGGAAGGGGGGGGGGAGAAGGTGGGGGGGGGGGGGGGGGGGGGGGGGGGGGGGGGGGGGGGGGGGGGGGGGGGGGGGGGGGGGGGGGGGGGGGGGGGTGGGGGGTTTAGGTGAGGGGAGACCATTGTCTGTGTTGCGTTTCACACCCCAGGTATGCACACCCTGGCAAGAGTGTCAGCAAGAGGAGGAAAGGGAGCATGATGGGGCTGATGTGGTTGGGGACTATCAGTTGATCTTCCGGGATTGGACAGCAGTCGATCCCAGTGTGCCCCTGAGATCTGCGACGGACTTCGCAGACCCCGCCTCCCCCACCCCCCCGGGGCTCTCTCTAAACTTTAAGGAAGTTCTGCAGGAGATGATCTAAGGAACCCAGCCAGGGTTGAGAGGGAGAGAGGAGGAAGCAGGAATAATATAGCCTGAGACCAGGAGCCCTCCCGGAGTCTCAGGCACTAGTCCAAGCGACCCCCCCCCCCCAACCTTAGGCTACTCTTCCTAGCCGCTCTTTCCTATTTCATAAGGGACACTGAACCCGGTTTCCAGCAGGTATAGCTTCTGCAAAATTGTATCTGGGATGCTGGACCCTGTTTCCAGTAGGTGCTGCTCCCCACCAATAGATTGGAGCAACTAAAAATAAAAATAAATTATAAAAATAAAAATAAAGAGTCCAACCTCCTGATGAGTCAGTAACAGTCCAACAATACAATCTGTCATAAGAGTCCAACCTCCTGATGGGTCAGTAATAGTCCAACAATACAGTCTGTCATAACCCCCACTTTCTCCTTCAAGTGGTCTCTCTCTCTCTCTCTCTCTCTCTCTCTCTCTCTCTCTCTCTCTCTCTCTCTCTCTCTCTCTCTCTCTCTCTCTCTCTCTCACAC